TAAAGAAGTTGACGAAACACCATTAAAACAGCCAAAAACAAAATCTTTTGCTGCCTACTTAAAACTTGGGCTACCAAAAACTTCCATCTCTCTATTGCATATATATTTTCTCTCGTCCAGTTTGTTTTAATCGGCTAAGATATGACCTCTATTGATATTATCTACTCTTGTGTATACTTAGAATGTTTACATGCTTCTGATTTGCTAGTTTCTCCTAAACCTGAGGAGTGGTGTGATTGTGGGTGGCAACGCGTTCCAGTACATGAGATAACAGTTGGTATAGGATGGTTGAAGAAAATTGGCAGGAAGTCTTCGACCTAGTTCCAATGGATAGTGGACTCCCTACTCCACTCCTACTGCCTTGTAGGTCACACTTGGTTGTGTAAAGGCTAGAGCTGCACTCTCAAACAAAAGGCCGAGCGATGTTGGGGACGTCACTCGTACCAAATTCCCATGAAACTTCATGAACTCTCTTACAAATTGCCGCGCCTGGGCAGCGATGATTCGAGACGTTCATGAAGCCGGCTCATCCTCCCCTAGGAGATAGCCGAAGTAAAGTAAGTAAGTCCAACCAAAAGTATCCAATACAGTCCTACAGGATGACAATCGGGAGCACAAATAGCTCAGTGGTAACATCTCTGACTGCAGCAGTAGATGACGCGGTTTTGAATCTTAGAAGAGAAATGAGTTCCTCCAAGGTTGCAAATACGGTTTGCTGACCAGTACAAAGTAGCACGAAAGTTAGGCTTAGCCAAGGCTTCCTACCGATTGTTTCCAACCATCTAATATCAACTAAAAAACATTTCTGTCCAAATTGCAGAACGACCCACTTCCAAGAAACAACTAGCCATTTTCCTAAGACTTTTTCCAGTTAAAAAAAATCGACAGTAGTGACAAGCGAAAACGATTCTGATGGTACAGAAAAAGCCAGATGATTAAGAATCACTTATAACATTTTCCAACACTTTGCTAACTTACATCACATTCTGATGAACCTCTCTTTTTATGAAGTTTTATTCTGAATTATAACAATTTTCTGAAACCCATCTGGCTTAAGTCTTGATCGTGGTTCAGCAGATGGGGGGCTGAAGAGACCCTAACTATATCAAAACATTAACCTGACATTTTCATGTTAGGATAAGGAAAGAAAAAAATGAGCAACATAATTCCAAGACTGGTGGAAGCAGACAAATTATACATTGTTAAAAGAATAATTATCTATAGTGTAATTAGACAAGAGGCGGTAGACAGGATTAAGTTTTCAGTCAAGACAAGAATCGGATAGAGACAAATTACGAAATCGAACAACATAGTAAATTTATACATATTATGATGGAGAGTTAAAGAATGCGAGAGTGATTAGCAAACTAAAACTATGGCTTAGACAATACAATTAAGTAGATTTAGAAAGTTAATTGTGAGTTCAACTCGCTAAGTGACAATCAAAATTAAATAGAATGTTACACAACAGAAAAAAAACACAAAACCACGCGAACAAAACAGTTGAGGTTACCAGAGTAGTGAGAGATTAGTCACGCTATCTTTCTGTATACAGGGGTTGTGTCAACGTCTTTCAGTAGTAATGACTTCTGTGAAGCATTTTGAAAGCTTGACTAATTAACACTGTATGTCCGGTGTCGATTAAGTGTCTTGTAATATCACTTAAGCACTTTTTACTACCTTTCATACCAAGACTTTTCTGTCTACATTCGGAAAATCTTGTAGACGCTCTTCTCTCAGTCCTTCCTATGTACTTGCCACTGCAGTCACAAAGAAATTGATAAATGCAGTTCAAGTTTGCATAATCGCGATAATTATCTACTTTTAACTGAGGTAATCGGCATACCATGTTGGGTAAAGTGGAATCAGTCCCGTCAGGTATATATATATTTGACTTTTGAGCACATTCGATTGATCATAATCGAATACAACACTACTCATACACTGATGTGCCCAACACTTATTGGTATTTAGTCATTCCTTAACTGACATCAGTTTATGGCAAATTCTACATGAAATCAAATTAAATCCATACCAACACCCTATGCAAATGAATATTTATTTCCTGGTAAACACTGAATAGATGTTCAAAACATGAACACAAATATTATTTGGAAACTTCTCATCTTTTCTCATTTTTTAAAAACACTAGATCAATGATCTTCTCAAGGGGATTGCGAGTTATTTTTAGCACGCATATCTTTTTTAGGCAAAAAATTTCTTTAAAAAGCAGCATTTTGTCTTATCGAAAATTTAAAGTTATGCAGTATTAATAACAGTTACTATAAGGTGTTCGATTGCGTAAGGATTCAGCTAAATTCTTGGCAGATTCCTAACTAACGTCAGCCGTCCAGCAGTAAAACAGGAATATTGACATCAGTTTTGGTCAAATATAAATAATACAATTTGAGATGATAATTCACCTCGTTTCCAACAGAACATGGGTTCAGCTTTGACGTTTTATTGGCTGTTTTAGTGTTGTTTTTACAGGTTGACATCGTTAGCCCCACTTCAAGCCTACAATCTTTAACTGGCTTCCTACCTGCTAATTGAGGCTTAGTAGTGAGTCGACATGGAGCCGAGACTGGACCAAACATAGCATTGTTAGCGACCATTCTACTAGCCACCAAGCCACAAACGCATAACATCTGCATGCATACTACTCATATTATTCATTAGTATATACCATCATGTCTGAATATTTACGTACTATTTTTTAATACCATTCTCGACAAAGTGAAATTTTTGTATGCATTAATGGTAAGTTCGTGACTTAACTGAAAATAAAATCACTCCACTCGTTATTTGCTTTTCCTGATGTTGTTATTCAAAGTGAACTGGTCGATTTCAACTTTCTTTTTTTGTCCAATCTAATATTTATTTCGATGATTGACAGTCATCACATGTAGACTAAGTGAAAGAGAAAATGAGCTGGCTGAATTAAATTGAATTGAAAATATTCTACAACTACTTAAATACTGAATCAGTAAGTGTAAACAACACTTGCTTTTTCATTCAATTTTGACTTTGATTTTCCTCTTGACTGTTTGAACTGAAATGTTCGACTTCTGGTGACATGTTGGCTATGAGTGTGGACGACTGGATGATGATGTATGAGGAGTAACTCGAAGTAGTTTTTAGGGGATAGTTACTAGTAGTGGAATTCAGGATGTCCTCAGACATTCTGCACGTGTCTACTGAGGCCTAATACTTCCTTCCAATAAATCAACAGGAAAATAAAAATTCAATTAAAAAAATACTAATCCATTCTCTTTGCAAAAGGGGTAGCTCTCGTTGCCCAACAATGTGTGGTAGATAATACTTTGGCATCTAAATCGATGGGTATTGGGTTCGATTCCCACTGGGAATGTAAGCACATCCAGGTAACGAGCCCTGAATCTTTCATTCCACTGTTAATCACCATTTACTGAAAGAATAAGCAGATGTATAGAGTGACAAACGACGAACATATATATGGCTGTATACATCAGCAACTCATTAAGTAATAGAATTTTTAGAATGTGACAGATAACTGTACATAACTAACACCATGTTAAGTTGTCAGAAACTATTTTAGTTTTCATAGTGAATTTGGCTGACTGCTAGAGTCAGCTCATGATGGAATCCTCCATGCAATCAAACACAAAATCTCTACAAAACCAATACTTAAAAATTAATCTGATGTTCACTAGTGACTGGCCAGGCAGTTGACCTGGGGTTCTAGTGGGAAACCGTGACCAGTATGGTGCAGTAGGTTGAAGGTGATGAGGCAGTAACTCATCGACGAAGACATTGAGAAATGGTCTCGATATATCGTGAATTGGCAGAAGCTAGAATTCAAGGACCATTGGATCGGGTTCCACTGGCTCAATGGTCTACGAGCTGGCTCGGCTTGTAACCAGAAGGTCCTGGGTTCGAACCCCAATTGAATGGGTGCATATTGCTGAAGAGACCCAAACTAGGCTGGGGAAACAGCTGTCCAGTACTACCAGGTTTCCCAGTGGTTCTCTAACTAATGTCAGCTCATGATGAAATCCTCATTACAGTCAAACACAAAGTCCATACAAAACCAATACTTGAAAATAAAAGAAAGTATCACAAAGGAACGGTTTACACTGTAGGTCAAGTAACATTTAGTCATACAGATTGAAGATTACTCTTGTGCTTGAAAATCCTGTCATTAAAAAAAGCATTAATCAGTAAACTACATTCATAATTCACTACATTGTGTATCCTCATTTAAGCATTAGTGACGTGTTAAAGCAACTTCCTTCCATATTGAAGGGAAATCCACTGTGAAAAATACTGGCCATAGTATGAAAGTGAAAAAGCCTTAAGGCAAAACAAGGTTTCGTTTATCAAACATCATTTTTTAACAAATCCATTCAACTCGTTGAAAGGTGTCTTTCAAAGCAAGCACACAGAAAGTTTACATGATCAAATCTTTCAGTCTTGAGTGATATATATATATATTTTCATATAGACTTGTCGAAAAGAAATGTTCAGCTTGTGGTTATTAGTAAGACAATCAGTCTCTAGACGAATGAATTTTCTCCTGATTGTGAAACTTTAATTAGATGGCTTCTTTTTTCTTCTTTATTTTCAAGCTAATTAAAATGGCTATAAATGAGGACAGCAAAGAATGATCTAAATAAAACTAATTTCTTTGATACAAATTATACTCACTGATCATTGATATCAGTTTACGCAACGTGACTATTGTAGCTTTGAGGATTAGCAGTATTGAGAAGTTGTATACTTGCAGAAAGACTATATCCAGTTCTGCATTATTTTCAGCAGTTCTCTAAGCAATGCCACTGTTCTTGAAGAGACCCATGTGGCAATTAATCTCATCCTCATCAATCCAAAGTCTTATTTTCCTTATAATTTGAAGAAATATCATCGTTGAGATTAGTTTAGTGAATACGCAACAGTGAACACCAACGAAAACAACAATAAGAAATTATTTAAACTGCTGGGTCACTTTGTATCGATTAAACAGTCAGTGGAGTTGGCGTAGCATCTTTTAACTCAAATGAATGAATACAATGATACGTGATAGATAAAAAGACAGAGGGAGTGTGGAAATCATCTTGAGGTAGAGAACTTTTCATGTTTAAGTCGATACATAACAGTCTTTTTTGCTTTAGGAATTTACATGCTACTGTGATCGTGGTCGATGAATTCAGTGAACTGAATAGAACATAAAGGATGAACACATATACACACCATTTGAAAGAATTTTGAAACATTTCATCACCAAACCTATACAATTAATTCTGGGTTTCTCAATGACCTAAGTCAGATAGTCTATACCTTTCTAATTCACTTATACCAACAGCCATGGGCTGATGTCATAGCAATTTCTACATGGACTTAAGTCACACATTAACATTAAGCTAAAAACTGTCATAAACCAAGTGGTATAGACATCCGCTTCTTATTATCTTCAGACTCTTCAACATTCTGAACTCCAAATGGCATGTGAAATCATAGATTCACGTTCATTAGGTTTCAATGTAAAATGTCATAGCAACTACCAACGGTTTATGCTCATATCTAATTTATTACTATTTATTTATTTGTTTGAATAAGTAATAACAGCATATTCTGGCAAATGACTGGGGAAATTTATTGTTTGTAATTTCAGTGAATACAGGAGTAAGACAAGGCTGTCTGTCTGCCATCTTCGACGATATTTCTAACTGTCGTGGACTGGATTATGTGTCATACTGTACACAGGGAGTCAGACGAGAAGAATAGCCTGGACTGCCGATAAGAACACTCTAGAAGATCTGAATTTTGCAGATGATGTATCTAATGTCGCATAAACTCGAAGACCCGCAGGTGAACATCAACATACTGGCTGAAGTGGTGTGCAGCAAAGGCAGATATCCAGATAAACACACAGAGAACGGAGGTGGTGAAGATTATCAACGGCCAACAGCAACAGCAACGACAACAACAACCAACACCAATCACCATCGAAGGGATAGATTTGACAGAAGTGACTTCACTTCCTTCACTTATTCGCCTAGGAAGCACACTTTCAACCACAGGCAGTCGGACAGCACAGATGAATATTTCGAAGCCATCCAGCCAGAATCGAAAAGAGAAGCAAGATACGCCTTCGTCAACCTGAAACCAGTTTGCAAATATTCTGCACTCACTCAGCCGGCATAAACAACAAAATCAGGATTTTCCACACAGATGTGAAGTTAGTCGGTCCATCTTCTATTCAGGTCAGAAATTTTGCACTGCATGTCAGTCGGGAAAAGGATTTCCAACAAGCTGCTACAGACTTTTATCAACAGCTACCCGCTCAGCTGGCTGGCTCCATACTGAAGATCAGATGGCCACTAGGCTGACCAGAATGAATTAGCAACAAGAAACTCTGGCTGGCAACAAACCAACCAACAACTGATTGCCCAACCGAGAAATATATGTGGTAGAAAATGGAGATAGATCAGGCATTAGTTGGTTGAGGAGGCCGTCGAATGACATCGGGAGCAATGTAGGCGATGGCTCGGGTAGAATGCGAGTGATAAATGACCAGTTGGTCGTCTGTGCAAAGGCGATGTGGTGAAGATGGTGTGAGATGGAGGAGATGAGAGATTATACGCAATCTTGGGGCGAACCCAAGTGGACTTCAAAGAACAGTAGAAAATACTGATGACCTGTTGAGGTGCTGTATTCCCCTGGTAACCAAAGGGAATAATGAGTAAAAATAAGAAATACGTGTGTCTTTTATTAAATAAAGTTACCTAATGCGGAATCGTTTCCTTCTGTTTTTGTATTTTTGATTTATTTTTCACCTTTAAAATCCAGCCTGTCTATCTATCAATGGAAAAATGTAATTCAACTTTTTTATCAATTGCATAATACCCTCCCCCTCCCCTATAATTTAATCCTAGGTTATGGTTCAGTGTTATGTGATAAATCTTAAGAAACAGAATTTGAAAATGACCACCAACATCAATAAATCCAGGTGACATAAATTTCATGCTCAAGAGCTTATTTATGTGAGTGAATAGTGAAGAGAAGTGAATGTCATTTATCCGTACACACTAGACATTAAGTTTACAATATAAGTACAAGGGGACAAAATCTACGCATGAGAAATAAAACCATTAGGCAGGTTTAATGTAAACTGAATTCCAGAAGATAAGCACACATAACCTAATGCTTTAGAATTTCTATTCAGCCTATTTGCCATCTTTTCCAGCATACTATTACATAACAGTTCCAAGCCTGCAACTGAATCAGTGTGATTAGTTCTGTAGCATATTACTCATAGTCAGGCGATGGGATTCATTGGTAAATGATTTTCTCTCTTACTTTTCTGAAAGGAAGCAGTATACTCCATATAATGTGAAGTCTTCCACTGCTTTGCTTACTCAAGCCAATGTTCCTCAAGGCGGAGTTGTTTCCTTCTTTTTAAGTTTTCTTTCTTCTAACTTGACTTACCCCATTCTAAGGAAGATCATTTTGTTAAGTATTCCGATGATCTGACTGTTTTTATACCGGCGGTTACTTCTCAATCGGATTATTCCAAAATGAGTAACATTTTATTGGTAATTATTCAGTGGTCCTTGAGCTCAAATAGTCTTATGCTAAATCTCTCCAGATGTCAGATTGTTAATTTTACTTTCACACACACGTGCGACTTGTTTGAACTGTTGTATCATAAATGGCAGTGGAGTTTAAACTTAGCCGAATGTTAAATACCTCATAATGTGTATTTCGTCAGATCTTTCCTGGTCTTCTCAGATCATATGAGTTTCTAGGGAGATATTTAGGTTGATGTTCTACGTAATAAAGTTAAGGCAGTCGATTATCATTCAGTCTTTAACAGTTTGCCAGTTCAAGTATTCTACTTATTCTTCTTTAGTGCTCCCCCCCCCCAATCTTTCCCAAACTACTTAAGAAAGAATTTGCTACAGTGCGATAGGTACTAAGAGTAGTCGGAAGGCGAGTAGAGTACTGCTAAACCAATTTGTGAATACTGTTGTAGATAGACATATGGAATCATGCAAGAAGTGAGCGATTGTAATTTTGTCGGACCCTGAGTATCCTCCTTATACAAAACCCTCGCCTTGCGTCTGATTACGTAGGACTAGAATAAACTATAAGAAGCTGATTGCTTAGACGACTAACTGTAGAAATTCTAAAATACCTTATTTTGCACACATTTTATGTGATGTGAGAAGTGTAAGGCATGACGCTACTAGTTTACTGAGAAACATAAAAAAGTGGCACTTTTTATTTTGTTGTTAGTATATCCACTTGAATTTCAATTTTATGTTTATACTCTTATCGAAAAGTGTTATCACCCTGTTAAATTATCTCTGTCTGCACTGTGACACTTAAAGAGAAAACTGAATACAATATTGCACTGCATGATAAAAAATCTCACAGTGTGTGAAAAGTACTGTTTAGAATAAACCCATTATTATTACTACTACTATTGTGATTTTGTCTTGAAACTGTCAATATTTTTATTGCACTTCATTTCGTGTGCGTCGGTGGCACATTGGTCTAATGCAAGCCAGCCACGCGTGTGGTACAGGCTTCGATTCACGACCAACGCACTTCTTTACGTGGTTAAAAGAGAAGATTGGAGATGAGGCTAGCAACCCCATCGCGTAAGAATAACCACCAACGCTACCGAAACTTCAGGCCCCTAGCTTGAAGCACCATATTCCACTAGAAAGGGATAAAAAAAATTCCATTTCGCAGACTTGAGTTCTTTCACAGTAGATTTTGAATATTCTGACAACTATCGTCTTCATTTAATACCTGATTTCATGATTTCCAATAGGGTAGAACAATTTTATCAGATCATATGTTGTCTTTGTTACACTAAACTACACTCGAACTAATCATCATATCTATTATATCAAGTCTATAAGAGACAGACTGATATTTTTAACCTCTGCAATATCATATAATCTAATTACTGGGAAGAATACACTCGCTTGAACAGGTTTCACGTATCAATTAACAGAATGTATTCAGTGTGAAGTAATGATATAAGTAATGATGGTGGTGATGATGTTAGTCATAATAATAATGAGAAATATAGCATGAAGCTTGCTATCTGTTGAGGCATTTCACGAAGCTGACTGGGATCAGTGTAATGTACATAATTAGAATCATTTTTTAATAAATACAATACTTCATTTTCATTGTTCCTTTATTTCTTATGAAGTATGTGTCAGTATTTCAAAATTTCCATGAATTGACTGTAATTTCGCATCATTCTAATTTTGTTGAGCTACGATAATTTGATATTGTTAAAATAGACGAATAATAGTAGCTTTATATCGTCCCCTTCATTACACAGATAGCATCGCGAAAACTCACAATCGCAGAAGCAAGACACATCTTCATTACTCTAGAATTTCCTCTACTGCCTCCATAATTCTTTATATGATCATATGCATAAAATATTCTAGAATAGTCATCATTACAGTATTGGTGTTTTTAAATACTATCGATTTGTTATGTAAGATCACAGAAGAATTACAGTTCACGAAAGATGCATAAATAATAATGAGCATAAAAATGTAATGGTAAATAGGATATCAAATGAAATTAAAATTAAGGAAGTTTCTACAACAAATTAGGGATCATTAAAGCCTTGATGGCCAGGGAGCTGAAGACAGTGTCTCAACTAGCTTCTTGTTTTGGATACATAAGTTAAGTCTCTTAATGTGAATTCCAACAGCCAGTCTAAGCAATATGTTGTAGACGAACTCTTAAGGTGAAGTTAAGATTAGTCGGTAGGCGTGCGATGACTTTGAAAGCCTCGTTAACAACTGTCTTGTGTTTTATATCCCCAAGATAAGATAGAATTGAGCTGTGAATGTATTCTATTTGTCCCTTACTTACTTATCGTTGGATTTCTGAACACCATCCTCTGTGGTTAAGTAAGGGTCAAATTGAATCTACTCATAAGTCTTATTCGTGCGTCGGTGGCATAGCGGTTAGGACGCTCGCCGACCATGCACATGGTCCGGGGTTCGATCCCCGGCCGACGTACTCCTTTACCTTGCTCGCTAAGCCAGAAATAAAGCTGGTAAACAGGAAAGGTTGGGCATGAGTCTATCAACCCCATACCGTAAAATAAAAACTGCTATAGAAACTACAAGTCACCAGCCTGAAGCCCTATGTTCCACTGGAGAACGTGAAGGGAAAAAAAGCTCAATTCTATCTCATTTCGGGGACAAAGATTACGAGGTTGATTATA